CCGCAGGGCTTCGCAGCTCCCGGCCCCCCTCGTGCAGCGGGGCCCGCAGCAGCCCGCCCCGCGGCCGGGCACGGCCCGAGGAACCTGGCGTTTCGGTTTGCAACGAATTCCGCTTGAAACGGAACGGCGTTTTCCGTGTGGGTGCGTCTTCCAGCGTCCAGTTAACTCGCGTCTTCGTTCTGCCTTGTATTTCCAGGTGTGGGAACGTTAACTTCGCCAGGAGAACCAGCTGTAACAGATGTGGGAGAGGTGAGTCTCTGAAATCACCTATCTCTTTCTCCTCTGCCTTTTTAAAAATAATATTGAGTCTTTTTAATTAATGGTAAAGGAAGACGTTTGAGAACTGTGTGGGTTGTTTGTTTTTTTTTTCTTTTCCAGAAAAAACAACAGAAGCCAAAATGATGAAAGCTGGAGGGACTGAAATAGGAAAGACACTTGCTGAAAAGAGTCGTGGCCTCTTCAGTGCTAACGACTGGCAGTGTAAAACGTACGCAGAGTGTTCTCTTACAGCCACACAACACACCTCCAGTGTGATGCGTAATGTCGTCGGTATAAATTTACTTGTACTGGAGAGAAGAGTGATCAGAACTGGCAGCTGTTCCACTAGTAGTGCTTTGCTGTGAGGATAGCATTCATTTTTATTTGCCACAGAGCAGTTTCTTAATTCAAGTGACTGGGAAAAAAAAGATTAAAAAATCAAGATTAGAAAGGTAAAAGTTTATATTTTCCTTTGATAAGCTGAGACACTTCTCAAGCTCCAAAGAAACGTGTAGATGGAAGTAACACCTGTGCTACAGTACGATGGTTTATTGGTAACATTCCCTGCATATTTAACGAGTAAAGTTTAGCACGTAATTAAGTTCTTGGGTGCTTCTCCAAGCTGTCAATTGAGAATATTAAGATCTAAATTAGGAGAGGATTACTTTTAATAAGATGTTTTGATTTTGGAAAGATGCTGTCAGGTTTTCTGGAGCACTTTTGGGGTTTGCTGGTTGTGTAAGCTGTCTGGCCAGTGAGATCTGGCTTTTTCAGTTTTTTTTCTGTCAGAACTTTGCTGTGTTCAGCCTGAGGTGTTTCCATTTGGGCCATTCTGCAGCGCCAGTGTCTGAGGGAATCGGCTTAATGGCCCATTTCAGGATTGTGGTCCCTAAGTAGGCTGTGTCTTGCCGGCCTCCTCCTCAGGAGCACCCTGGTGATGGTGCTAGGGAGGGATGAAGCAGGAGCGGCATTTTAGGGCTCTGTGAGGTGGAAATGCAGTAAGGGAAGCCTGTAGCTGTGGCCGTACCTCGGCAGAGGACGATGACTGCTCGTAAGATTATTCCTGTGGTAGCTTCTTCGTTAACTGCTCTGAGCTGTGAGTGCCACTCCTGAAGAGTAACGAGGAGCATTGACACGTTTTGTGTCGTGCTGCCTCTGGCAACTCGTCTGCCGAGGAGTTTTATTTCTTCCCCCTGGATTTGCCCAGCGTGGTGCTCTTTCTGTCACCCTCGTGCTGGTGAAATACCACAGACTCCCCTGAAGTTCCTTGTGGCTTGGTGCCCGTTGGCCTTGGTGCTAATTGCGATGTACTAGTGACTGCAGGTCCCTGCTAAAACTTGGCAAATTCATCCTTACGATTTCTTGGAAGTGTTGCCTCAACACTTAAGCTTTTGATTTGAAATGTTTCTTTTTTTTTTTTTTTCTTTTTTTTTTTCTTTTGGGCTCTGAAGGTGTGGTAACGTGAACTGGGCTAGAAGATCAGAATGTAATATGTGTAATACTCCAAAGTACGCTAAATTGGAGGAAAGGACAGGTAAGATGTACATGGTTTTAAAATATTCAAGTTCCTGTAAGAAAAAATATTTTTATAAGTCACAGTATAATTTAATTCGAAGGTTTGTTTTCACAGCAGAACTAGCAGCGTTGACTGATCTTGTGTGTGTGGATACATCTGTAGGTTCTTAGACTTGCTTACTTCTAGCGGTGTGTAAAGTACGTGGTGGTTTCGTGTGGAAAGTCACCAAACACTGAGCTTAAATGGCCTCTGTGTTTGATTTTGATACTAAGACGTTTGGAAGGAGTGAGGCTGTGTTTTATTACACCCCAGAAAGTGCTCTGTGTGTGTGTGTGTGTGTGTATGTGGTGTCCATCTAGAGAGGGCTGGGCAGTGCCAGGAGCAGCGGGTGAAGGCTCTCACATCAGACTCTTGTCTCTTCCTGAGGTTTGGGCACACTGTGACACATTTTAAATTCCTCCTGCGTTTCCAATGAAGCTGCTGGTAACTCGAGCAGAGGATTTCCTTACACTGCTCCTCCCTGCAGACACTGTTACCACTGCGGAGGGGTCGGCAGAGAATTTAATGTACAGACTGTAACACCAATGCTTGCAGAAAAAGAAGCATGGAGAGGAGCAGAGAAAAAGAATTTTATTTTTTTTTTAGTATTCTTACTTGATATTGTAAGGATATGAAGACACTTTAATTATTTCATATAACTAAATAATACTTGGTTCTTTATTTTTACTATTTCATTAAATAATGCTTTGACATTTTTGCTATTTAAATAATATTTGATATTTTGCTATTTAATAATAACTCAGTATTTTTGCTGTTTGATAACAAAATATTTGAATTGATATTTTTGCTATTTGATTAAAAATACTTGATTTGAATTCTTGTTAAGTAATATTTGACTCGATATTTTTGCTAATCGATTAAATAATATTTGACTCGATAGTTTTTGCTAGTTAATCGATTAAATAATATTTGACTTGATATTTTTTGCTAGTTAATTTTTCGAGTTCCGGTGCCCTTCAGCGTAGGTTTGGGGTCACGTGCAGGACCCCCGGCACGCTGCACACGCTTGCAGTACGTGACGCAGTCAGCTGAAATTGAAATGAGCCGTTGGGAGTTTTCTGCTGACACGCTGCAGAGGACCAGGAGGAGCCTCCCGGCGGGCCCCGGCCCTGGGGCGGTGGGGTGCGGGCACAGGACCAGCGCTTTGGCTCCTGCCGCTCCCCGAGGGCCGGCGGGGCTGGGGGAGGCTCTTGGCCAGCCTTGCCCTCGCCCCGCAGGTCCTTGCCCACTCCCCCGAGTTGGCTGCCGGCTGCTCTCGGGCAGGCGTTTGGTTTTTGGGGGCAGGAGCCGTTGTCCAGCCCCGCGGGGACGTGGCGGTGTCAGGCAGCACAGCCCCCCCTGGCTCTGCTGGGAAGGTGCTGGCTCAGCACAGCTGTAATCCAGAAACTTTTTTTATTTTTCCATTCTTTTAAACGTTCTTGCTGCTGCGTCGTTTATGTGTCTTAATCCACTCTCTCAATTAGGTTTCTGGGAAACCACATTTAATAAACGTGTACGGGAACAATTCATGTTCCTCCCAAGATTATATTACGTTCTTAGGGCATATATTTATAAATCCACCAAAGGTTTCCAGAACCTCTCTGAAAGTTTAGAATAAACTTTGTGCTGAATTTGGTGCGGATCAAGAGATTGTCATGTCTTACCCTTTTTTTTTTTAAAAAAAAAAAAAGGATACGGAGGAGGATTTAATGAACGGGAGAATGTGGAATATATAGAACGTGAGGAATCCGACGGGGAGTATGATGAGGTAAGAGGGGCTGCACGTGCCGCTCTGGAGGGACGCACGTGGTGGGGTTTGTGTTTAGGACACGTTTGCATTTGGTTTCCCTACGGGGAAAAGCACCAGTCAGAAGTACATTGCGCTGCCTCTCCTTGTCAGACACCGGGTGTGGAAGTTTTGAACTGAAAGTGAATGCATCTGCTTTGTCTTTTGGGGGGTTAAAAACTAAGAATGGGTTTGAATTGAACTCGTTCAGGCTGTTAAACTTCTCCAGGAGCTGGCTTCGGGTCATACGTGTGGTTTTCAGCCAGATGTTCAACACTGGTTTGTAAATACATATATCCCGTAGCACAAATATAAACCACTCTTTTGATAAATTCAGGTTTCCTTTAATCTTGTGTGTATCCAAGGCAAACATCTCTTTGGGAAGTTTCTTGCTAACGGATGTTGTGTGAGACTGCTCCTTCCCTTTGAGCAATACCTTATTTGCAATGGATGCATATTTATTTTGTCGTCGGAGTTTTATCAGAAAGTACAATTGGAAATGACTTTTGATTAAATTGTATGCTAATGGAATCAAATTTCTTAGTTCGGACGCAAAAAGAAAAAGTACAGAGGGAAGCCGGTGGGTCCCGTATCTATCCTGAAGGAAGTAGAAGATAAGGAATCTGAAGGGGAAGATGAGGAGGATGAGGATGAAGATCTCTCCAAATATAAATTGGATGAGGTAGTGTGTTTGGGGTTTTTTTCTAGCAATTATATTTAATTATTCCGGCAGTGCTGTTTAGGCGAGGTTTGCTCTGTATTTCTCGCTGCTGTTAGAGCAGTGCAGAGGGGTAACTCGGAAGAGTGGTGCCTGCAGCTTCTGTGAAGCATGTGCACAAGCTCTCTTTTGTTCTAAATACCTGCATTCAAAGAAGGATAATTTTTTTTTTAAAGCATAAAAATTTAAAATCTTATCTTGAGATCAGAATCAAAAATTTATTTGGAACCTTTATGTATGGTCACCACATAAAGGGAATGTTCTTAACCTTTTAAAATCATGTCAAATTTATTTTTTTTTAAATGGAATAAAATATCCAGGGTGTTTTTGTCTTTCCTGAAGTACACGATCATCATCACAGATTGTCCACGTCTTTGGAGAGCAGCCCTGCAGAGACACGTGTATGTGCTTATTTTAAACCCAGCAGTCACCAAACTCTGGGTATGAAACACGTCTGTGCAGAATTACACACAGTTCCAAATTCTGAGTCTGAACATTCTTCCAGGCACTTATTTAAGGTAGCTGGTGAGAGTGAATGCCTGTATTTTCATTCACTTCATTAAATGAGAGAAAATGGGACTTCAGATGGCGTTTTTGCAGGCTTTTTGACAGCTTGCTTTGAAAGACAAATTTTCAGTCCCTCTTTACTGTTAAAATTTTTTAATTTCATTAAATGCACCAACAAAAGTATTTCAAAGGTTGGAAAAAAGCACAAAATAAACCGTAGAATAAGCAAAAACCGCTAACTGAGAGAAACAGTCAAAATATTTCGTAAGTATTTTTTGTATATGTGCATTTGTTCAGGATGAGGATGAAGATGATGCTGACCTTTCAAAATATAATCTTGATGCCAGTGAAGAAGAGGACACTAATAAGAAAAAGAAATCCAATAGGCGCAGTCGTTCTAAGTCTCGATCTTCCCACTCCCGATCTTCATCGCGCTCATCCTCTCACTCAAGCTCAAGGTCTAGGTCCAGGTAAACGGGTACAGGTCAAGGGTAACGCCAGGCAAAATGTCAGTATCTAACTTCTTTATTTACTTTTTTTTTTTTCTTGATTGCCTTACAGTTTTAGTTTAATAATGTTAACAATTTTCTGTACAGAATTTACACAGGTAGATCACGTTCTGTTCTGACCTGTGGATCCCCAGTAGGGAGGCTTTATGGGTCTTGTCGCTTGTTTTAGTAAATTTAAGCTGATATTTCAATTGAATCCTTCACATAAATTTAAAAAATATAACTTATTTTCGATTTTATTTTTAGGCTTGTTGGCCATATGTGATTCAATAGGTGAACTTTTTTTAGCAGTGCAGAGTGGAGTTGTTGAGCAGAGAAGCAGAAGGGTGGTATTGTTCAAGTGGGAGGAGGCGGCAGAAGAGGGCAGTGATGATGCACTCCAGAGAGATTCAGTGAAAGGGCAGAGTGGAAAAAAAATCCCTGAAATAAAGACAAGAAACTTGAACTTAGTTTGATGACGAGCTCTGGTGACGCTGTCAGAATAACACTAAGGTTTATATCGACCGTGGGGCCACAAAAAAGGTCCACTGGGTAGATTTAAGGTCTCTCGCTATTATTTAAATTTGGGAATACGTGAACAATTCAATAAATATTTTGTAATTGTGTGATGGAAATCACGTTGTAGCTTTTTAGCTGCCTTACGACTGATACAAGGATTATACTGATTGGTTTGAGACCTCAGCTCAGTACTGGCTCATGGGGTTGTACAGAAAGTTCAAGTTTCTTCTTATCTCCCCAGCTTTGTAACTGCACCTCTCTGCTCTCGCCGCCCGGCCTCTTCAGACCCTCACACTAACAGATACCAGCCTCTCGCTCTGCTTTGGCTTTCCCCCATCGCTCTCATGCTTTTATTCGTGCTGCCTCTTCTGTGACAAATTCCATTCTTCCCAAAACCCATCGCCAGCCTCCCTGCTCCCTCAAATGCCGTCTCGAGATGGGTGTTTGCCGCCTGGCCCCGAGGAGGAGCACTAAGCCCGTCCTGGTGGCTGAGCTGCCCGGCTCTTGGCAGCTTTTTATGTGAAGCCAGGTGTGGGGGAAGGTCTCTGAGGAGGTGGCGGTGTGAGGGTGGGGGCCACTTCTGGGGTGTAGGGCTGGCAAGGTCAGAGAAGACAGAAGAACTTCATCTGCCTGTACCTTTGTTCCTTAATTCATAGATGTTAACAGTGAAGCAAAAAGCAGCTTGTGGTAACTGAAATTTGCTAGGGGTCTTCCAACTTTCGGCTGAACTTTTTGCTTCTAGCTACAGATAATTAACTGGAAATACCAGTTGCCTTTTGTGAATACTTCTTTGTGGTTTTAAAAAAGGTTTAAATACATTTTCTAGTTAGCGTGTGTTCACACTGCTTTTGTTTTGCACGGTAAAATGCAAAAGTCAGTCTCCCAGTTTATCCTGTTACCATGTCAGCATGCATAATATATTTTTTCCTGAAAAGATTATTAGAGTTTGATTGCCATGCCTTCTTTTTACAGTGGTTACTGCAAGTCTGCTGTCATTTTCACGTAACTTCTGTGGTTTGTGCTTTCAAGAAAACCCATCAACATGACAAATTTGAAAATAATTTTGACTAGTTACAAGTAGTGTTAGATATGGCCGTGTATTAGCCAAGAATTAACTAAATAATTTCTTTGAGCGCGGGGGAAAATCTTGAAACTGCTTACAAAGTGTTCATGAGGACTGATTTGGGGAGAATTTGAACCACCTACTGCTAATGCTCTTACCCACTCTGCTTTTCAAAGAAACTGATGGTTTTCAAGTTAAGGCACAAATCAAAAGTGAAGGCATTGTTTTCACGAAATAATTAATAGATATGCAGTTTTTTCATTTTGCCATATAACTGCAATCCTGTTTGTGTGTTCTGTTTTAGGAAACGTAATTAAAAGCTGACCTTATCAATTTTTCTAATGCACCATCTTACTGTGTTAAAGTTTCTGTTTTAAAATGCACTGTGGTGATACTGGGGAAGTAGGAGGAAATTGTCACTTTTTTTAGTGACTCTAGGCCAAATTGTATTGATGCATCGTTGTCTCTACTGCTACCAGTAGCAGTTATTCTGCTAAATACAAGTCAGGCACTGGAAAAAGAATCTTCCATGTTGTTTCAGGTCCCATTCAAGGAGTTCTTCCAGTTCCAGATCAAGATCTCGTTCCAGTTCCAGAGAACACTCTAGATCTCGTGGGTCGAAATCAAGGTGAATGAGGTAGCACTCTCTCCTTGCAGAGAGAAAAAAGGGCAGAAGAACCAACCGCTTGTTGATTTCATCGTAAAAATTATGCCGGTCAAAAAAACATTAACTCGTTTTTATCTTGGAAGTCAGAATGCCTGGGGTCTCTGCACGAGGTGGTTGCCACTACAGATGTATTTCTTGAGAATGCGAGGTTTTGGTTGAAGAGTTTTAAGTCTGATCTAAGCTAGAGGAGTGGACGCCACAGATCTTCACTGGGAAGGAAGAAGAATTTGAATGCATGTTTCCTTGCTCCCGTAATTTTTGCTGGTTTTACTGTTTCCACTTTGGCTACTTGATGTGGAAGAACGTTAGCAAACACTCTATGCTTCTGGGTTTGTGTTTAGTGGTAACTTACTGAATGTGTCTTAACTTCCACTAGATAGTGCTGCCACGATCTTTATAAATGTGGGGGGAACGTATAAAACCGTGGGTAGTCAGTCGTGCCAGAAGCTGGCAGGAGGTGGAGGGAGCTGGTGTTTCCTGCACAGCGGTAACCGGGGAAGGGTCAGAAAAGCGCCTGAGTCCCTTGAGGTGTCCCCGCACGGGCGTCCTGGGGCAGGACTGGCCTTTGGCACTGGAATGAAGAACTGTCCCATCTCCGTGCATGTGGAGAATCTTAAAACTCTTAAATAAGGAAGTTTGAGTTGGGAAGACCGGTGCCAAATGGTGCTGATGCCCTTGGGGGGCAGGAACGTGGCTGTGGATGGGCCCGTGAGAGGCAGCGCCAGGTGGAATCCGTGATGTTAGGAGGAGATGAAGGGTGCCTGTGCCCCCGCCGCGGGCCTACTCGCTCGTGCCACACGGCATCCTCCGCGCACCCTCGGCTTGGGTGAAACAGGACTGCTTTGTTATTTCCAGTGGAAACCCTGAAAATCCTCTGCCGACAGCATGCACGGTGTTGTTGGGTTTTTTAAAATGTTTTATCCAGCTTTTTGGAAAAAAAAAAAAAGTCCTCTCAGGTGTTTTTATATAATTTTGGAATTGCAGTTTAGGACTTTCTAGCTCATACTTTTTCAATATGTGGTTTTTTTTCTTGGTTTGGTTTTAGGGGTTATTTTTTTTTTAGATAACCAAAGTGATTCTTGAGTGCTTGTAAGCGAAGCTGGTTCATTTTTCTTTAAATGCCAAAATGACTGTACTCTGAGAGGTTTTTAAAAATATTCCGGCTGCGTAAGACCTTCGTCTTACTCCCCAGCAACTTTATTTTGAGATCTGTAAAGGTGCCTTCTGAGGGCTTTTACTGTTCTAGTAAGCTGACCAAATCCGCAGTGTGAACTACCCATTAATGTGGAGTGGCCCGGTGTTAAATCACCCTTGCATCTGTGGTTTTCGAGCCATTTTTGCTCTGAATTTAACTCCTGAGGAAGGTCCTTACATGGGCTTTCCTGTCCCACTCTCCCACCGCTTCTTTGTCAAAACGTGTCATTCTGGTGAATGCTGGGAAGAGGTTTCCAAACCGTTGGTGGTCTGTATATCAAGAAACATTGTCTAGGAAAATTTATTAAGGGAACTGCCATGGCAGTAGAAGTCTTTTATTGGCAGATAACTAAGGAGTAAGTATTAAAGCATCCACACGTTTATTTGCCAAACCACTGCTGTAACTAGAGTAGTGAGCGTTCGTGAAAACTGTCTCTTTTTGTTCTTTCTTTGTTTGTTCTATATTATACCAGAATTAAATCTGATTTATTTCTTAATCAATAAAGATCCAGCTCCAGGTCCTACAGGGGGTCTTCCACCCCAAGGAAAAGATCTTACTCAAGCTCTCGTTCATCATCTTCCCCCGAGAGAAGCAAGAAGCGAAGTCGTTCTAGATCTTCTTCATCTGGTGATCGCAAAAAAAGACGATCGAGATCACGGTCACCCGAAAGGTTTGGGTTTATGTAGAATAAGAATGGGTGTATTTAAATGTGTGATTTTTTTTTTTTTTTTTTTTTAATTTTTTTCTGAAGGACTGAGATTTACTGGGAAAGAATTGAATCCGATCAGTTATTCTGATATTAAAAGTAGTTTTCTCACTTCCCCTACTCTTACTTCTTATTAAAACCTCTGTAATTGCTTTTTGGTTTTTATTTCTCCCCCTCCAATGAAACTTCTTCCTGCTAAGAGCATGTTCAATAGAAAGACCTGGGTCACCATTCTTTCCGTGTGTGAAAGTGTTAATGTGTACATTATTGATTTATTTTCATAAGTAAATACTGCATTCAGAAATGGTATTCTCCTCTCAGTATTAAACTTACATTTTTAGTATTAAATTCACATTCACGACCTTAAAGTGGTTTAGAGTTATTTCTATATTCTTAAAAGGCCCCTATCAGATATACTTGGCTTCCAGCTATTATAGGATACAGACTACTCAGAGTGGATGCTAAAATTAATTTCAACTTATTTCTTTGCATGCTTTCTCCATTTATATCTTACAGACGGCGCAGATCATCATCTGGATCTTCCCATTCTGGTTCCCGTACAAGTTCTAAAAAGAAATAATGTATTAAAGCTCACATTTAGGGGGGAAAAAAAAAAATTCCAGTCAGTGCATGAGACATTTTTAAGAAGTTGGTGTCTTACTTGGTCAGAAGTGCTAAATCTGCTAGTAGAGGTGCATGTCTGTCCTTGCTTTCTGGAAAACTGCAGCTTTGTTCATTCATGAAACAAAAAGTGAAGTAGCATTTTAAGCCATAAACTCCTCGGAGGTGCTGTGAGGTTTTGTTATTTGGGTAAGGAGAGGCTCTCGGTCGCTCGGTCCCTGGCTCTCTCGGAGGCATGGGCAGGCCCAGGCCAGCTCTGCTCTCCTACAGCTCTGCTCCAGCCCGAGGACTGGGGGAAAGAACCCCAGTCCTGAGCTTGCTTGGCGAAGCTCCTGTGGGACCACAGAGGATTAGCGTAGCCCTAGGGCTGGTGCTCCCCGTCGGACGACAGTAGTGAGTACTTGGGTCTAATTATTTTTTATTTTTCCGTGTTGAAGTAGCAGTATAGACGGGTGCCCCTCTCTTTAGCTGTGACACGCCCAGCCTGGGGGACGAGGGTGCAGAGCGAGCTGGGCTCCGGTCCCCTGAGCGAGGACGTTGGGGACCTGGGGCGCGTCTCGGCGTGGCCCCGCGCTCAGCGACCTGCCTGTTCCGCAGCGGGGACGGGCTGGGGGCTTCCACCTGCACGGACCCTGGACCCTGCCATCCTCTCAGAGAAGGATCGTTTAGGATCTGCTCTTGAGATGGAGGAATATGGAACTAGCTTCTCGGAATCTAGTGAAGCTTCTGCAGGCCGTCTAAATTCATTTGGGGCTGACTAAAATTTTCAAGGTATCGGAATTTTATTTATATTTAAAAGTGAGAATGAATAAACTCTGTAGAACAAAGTCCTGACATCTTAAATGTGTTCTTCATCAATCATTCTTTTTCCCTTAAACATAATTTATGGCTTAAAATGCTTTATTGAATCTATTTTACTAGCAATATCAAAAAACTTGGTCTCTCTTGAGCTCCGTTTGGTTAAGAAAGGTTTTAAGTATCTTCAGTGCCATCACAAGGTAAGTATGTTAAGGAAAATTATTCTTTTGAAGAAAGCAAACAGCAATATATCTGCATTTATTTCGATAGTAAAACATCCAAACCCTTATTTGACTGCTGCTTTTTTTAAATGGACTGCACAAAAACAAACGGAGCAAAATTTAAAAACTACAGTCTGCTTTCTTTTTCTTTTCTCTTTTTTTTTTTTTTTTTTTTTTTTCTGGTATACAAGTGAAATGGTTTTGGTGTAGAAATATTTTGATAATCTTTTTGCAGAAAAAAAAAAAAGCTCTGCAGTTTCTTCTTTTAATGCTTTCTTTTCTATCTAATTTCAATGCTAAATGTGTGTAGATTGCACAAGAGCAGGTTAGTCTTGTAACTGTGCCTCTGACTTCAAAGTCCAACTACTAAATTGTAAAAATCAGATCAAATAGATGCTATGTTGTTAGCCTTTGGGGGTTTTTTTTCTTGTGCTTTGTATTAAAATTTGTTGCTGTACTTAACAGATGAAAGTTTTTAAATTTAGCAAATGATAGGCTACAGACAAAGGCAAGCTCTGGTTTCATTTGGCTTAGATAAAATGTAAGGCAAAATGATTCTGTAGACAAGTGTAAATAAAAGTTGTGAGTTAACCGTGCAGTGAGTGCTTTCTCTTGGAAACAAGGAAATCCCTCTGTACCCTCCCCCAACAGATCCTGGTGGTGGTGGTCTCTGTTACTGCCGTGCACGGGCCCTGCGTGCCTTTCCCTGGCCGCACATATCCTAAATTTTCAGGTGGTTTCGGTTCTTTAAGTACTGAAAATAATGTTTGTATTTCGACAGCAGCGCGTTTAAAATGAACTTTTAGAAAAACTCCAGGGTGTTTCCTCCGTATGCGTTCCGTATCTTTTTTTCAGAATGCTTGTAGAGGAGGCAGCACGTTGAAAGTATTTTGATGTCTGCATTTTAAAACACAAAGGCAGAGCGACTGTGGTGGTTTTTGCGTGCCTGTTGGAAATGATGCAAAATTCCTCTTTTTTTACTGGACTGGTAAATAAATTAGAACTAGCTGTGGTCCACCTCTGCTAAGACACAAAGCCTGGTTTAAGCTCAGGCAGTGAGAAAGCATTACAGGTTTACCGTAATAGGCTGCTCGTGCGGGCGGGGGGTAGAATTATCTCCAGTGACCCAGCAGTAAATTTTTATGTTCCACTAGAAAATACTTTCCTTTCCTTGGGATCAGATAAATTGCTGCTTGTAGAAATAAGTGGGTATTTCTGTGCAGCTTTATCAAAGATCAGTGAAATGTGTCACGGCAGAGGAAGTGTTGGTCAGGTTAAGTTTAGGGCTAATAACGCTTTTCTAAGAAAAAATAAATACATTCATGAGTAGTAGCAGTGGGTTTGCATGAGCATTCTTTTGTGGCAATTGAAAGCTACAAAGTGATTTTTCTAAAAGCAGAGTAGCTGCTCATTTTATATAAGTCGGGCAAGTGAGCAAAATCCACTGCTTGAAAAACCCAGTTTCCTTTTTCTTCAGATGGGTCAGTCAACGGGAAATAAAACACGTGAAGATGTAACAACATGTACATTTTAAAACAAGGTTGCTTCATTTCCACACCAGGTAACAGGGTGTTTGGGTTGGGTTGCTTTTTAAGTATGAAAGTACAGATACTTGTACTTCCCCAAAATTTGGAGAAGGGAGCAACAGGAGGCAGCAGTGCTCCGTTAACGGTTTTATTACGGCACCAGCTTTGAGCCAAGTCCTGCACAATTTACCTATCCTCCCGTTATCAAAATGGGTAGTATTTTTATTGGGGGGGAAAAAAATAATTTTTAAAAAAAAATCTGTGGAGTGCTTCATACTTAGTTTGGCAAATGGAACTAATAAAGTGATGCTTTCTCAGGGGCTGGCTGTGGACCCCAGACCCAGTCAAGCTGCGGGGAGGGCAGGACCCAGTAGTGGCACAAAAGCTTTCCAAAGGGTGGAGGGGCCAGGGGAGATGTTGGCTGGGAGCTCCTGCGAGTTCAGCACAAGTCCCTGTTGGAGTTAATAAGGGGAGAGCGGGGAGGAGGGGAAACGGTGTTTTCCCCTCACACTTTCCCAGACTTTCTGCTTTAAGCCGAGTACATCTGAGTTCAGTGTGAATACTGTCCCCAGCACTGGATTTGTTTTGCAAATGACATCCTGCTGTCTGTCTGCCAGATTAAAAAAAAACGAGTTCCTTCGTTTAAGGACAAATTGCTGTAAATGTTCTAGAAAGCAGAGAATTAACGAGCCACAGCTCAATAATTTATACAGCAAACCCTGACTTCTAATGTGGCTCTTCTTCAGGAGAGATGCAGCTCTACCCCTTTCGTGATTTAGTCTGTGCACATTGAGTCGGGCAAAGTAAAAATCTGAGCAGGGCAGTATTTTAAACTAGGCTTTGTTAATGGCACTTTTAACCTGTACGGCTGTTAGAACTTTATTAAAATAGTTAACTCTGACAGCAAAAATTACTGAAATCCCTGGATGTTGTTGATTTATATAGAGGAAGATGAGAAATTCCTGCTGGTAGGCGAAGGAATTATTGTGACATGAAACAAGGATTTGTGACAAGGGTTGCAGGGTTTCTCTGACTAGTTGTTCCCTCCACCGGGGGACAAGCCAGGTCCCACCACAGACCTGGGAACGCAGAAGCGGCACAAAGCTGAAGGTGCTGCACGCAGGGGCTGTTGTGGCTGTCGGGTTCTGTCACCGGCTCCTCGGGGGTGTTGAGTCAGTCAGTTGTGGTTAATCGAGTCAGTTACGGCCTGGAAAAGGGCTTGGTGGGGCCTCAACGGTGCTAAAACAGTGCTGAGAGTTAAGGACAGAGAGAAGAGGTGGCAGGTGCAGCCCTCGGCACACAAGGAGCAGCGGGTAGGGACAGGGACAGGGACGTGTCAGGGGTTGGTGAGAGGCAGCTCCCGGGCAGGATGGGCACCACCACCTCCCAGAATCATCTGGGTTGGCAAAGCCCTCGCAGCTCCTCCAGCCCAACCATGAGCCTCCCCCTGACCCTTCCCAGCTCCCCCAGATCCCTCAGCGCTGGCTCAGCCCGACTCTTCAACCCCTCCAGGGATCCCGGGGACTCCCCCCTGCCCTGGGCAGCCCATTCCAACGCCCAACAGCCCCTTCTGCACAGAAATCCTTCCTCAGAGCCAGCCTGACCCTGCCCTGGGCAGCTTGAGGCCATTCCCTCGGGGCCTGGCGCTGGGGCCTTGGCTCCAGAGACTCATCCCCCCTCTCTGCCCCCTCCTGGCAGGGAGTTGCCGAGGGCCAGGAGGTCTCCCCTCAGCCTCCTCTGCTCCAGACTGAACCCCCCCAGTTCCCCCAGCCGCTCCCCAGCAGACCTGTGCTCCAGACCCTGCCCCAGCTCCGTTGCCCTTCTCTGGCCACGCTCGAGTCA